ATAGAATAGAATAGAATAGAATAGAATAGAATAGAATAGAATAGAATTCTTTATTATCATTAAGGTACAACATTTAATGATAGTCATAGGGAACAAATAAGCAATCAAATCATACTAGGAAACAAACAGAACAATATAAATCATAAAAATGCAAGCAACATGGTTACAGTCATAAGTGGGAGATATTAGGAAGGATGAGAAGATTAATAGTAATAGTAATGCAGACTTAGTGAATAGTTTGACAGCGTTGAGGGAATTATTTGTTTAGCAGAGTGATGGCGTTTGGGAAAAAGGTTTCCCAATGCATTGGCATTTTTAGATTAATGATGCACCAGAGCAACGGGCTGGCCCACCAACAAATTATGATTGATCTCAAATAGAAGGATAAAATAATGGCAACAGCCACACAGGTTGCCCGTGTGATAGAATATACCTCCTTCCCAGAATAATAAATGCTACTGAGGCAGCCACACTTTTACTAGAATCAAATTTCCACTTACCAATCTGTGATATATTTATTACACAATTACAAAGCTACAAAGGTCATTTATGCGACTTTCCCATCGCCTTTCTTTCTCCTACTTCCTCCTATTTTCAGTACAGGTTGTCCCAATTATCCCTCAGGGCAGGTTTCTATTCTAAATTTAGTTTGTTTGCAGTATTAGATATATAAATTCAGTTTGCTCTGGCTTTGGACTGTAAATACTTTACAAATCACCCGAAAGCAGCTGACGTCTGAAGGCCTGGGCACAACTGACACCTCTGCATTTCCTAGCAATCCAAAGTATTAATGGTATAAAGAAAATGTAAGATCAGCAAAACGGTGAACAATGCCGGCTCCTCACCAGGTCACCTTAACTAGTGCAAGGCACCCCACCGTGCCCAGAAGATGCAGATGCTGCCCCAAAGGCCTTCTCCTTTGGAGGTGCAAAATGGAGGAAGAATTGCACAGCTTGTTCACTCTTTTTGCACACCTTGTAAGGTGTAAGCCTTTGGAAACGACCTCCAGACAAAGACCTGCGTTTCTGAAGGACACACAGACACACATACACACCGTCCCACAACCTGCTCGGACATTCAGATCTGCAGGGAAGCCTCCCCACAGAAATCTTTAGCAAAAGGCGAGTAAGTGTACAGACAGGGTGGATAAAAATCAATGATTTTTTTAAAAAAATCAAAAAAATCAGATTTTTTTAATTTAAATCAGATTTTTTTTATTTAAATCAGATTTTTTTTATTTTTATCGAATTTATTTTAATAAAAAACTTTTGGGGTAAAAATCTATCGTAAGATAGTTTTCTATTTCAGATACATAAATAATTCAGTTTATTCAGCATGAAATGGAGCTTAGTTACGTAGCATGAGGCTGTATATTCTGCAACACTGGGACTATCGGTGAGTCAACAGTGGGTCAAAGGAGTAGCAGAGATGGCAGTTGCTCTTTAAAAATTATGATTTAAATCGAGTTGATTTAAATCAAGCCTTTTTACTAGTGATTTAAATCATGATTTAAATTGTGATTTAAATCAACTCGATTTAAATCAAATCCACCCTGTGTACGGAAATATAATGATCATCTTATCAATGTTAATAAATGCATTTCTAGATTTTTTTTTTTTAAAAAAAAAGATGTGCAGGGAAGTCTTGTTGAAAATGTCTTATGATGGGGTCCAGAGGAAAGGGGGGGGGGGCTTCTTCCCAAAATGAGGAACTGTCCTCCCCCTGCAGTAGCATTAAATCCCCTCCCTGCCCCTTTTATTACTGTCTATATCAGGGGTCACCAACCTTTTGGACCTCAGGGATCACTAAATTCATAATTTTAAATCCCACGGACCATTAATATGATCTGCTTAATGACCGGCTGGGTGGGCGTAGCTAGGTGGTCATGTGGCTGGGTGGGCACGGCCAACTCGATGTCATTCATATCCAGGGGTGCCTCGCTGGCCTCTATTCCAGGGGTGGGCAACTGTGGCCCTTTTTACAACCTGTGGACTTCAATTCCCAGAATTCCTGAGACAGCTTGGGCCATAGTTGCCCACCCCTGTTCTATTCTACTCTATCCCCAACATTTGAGGAGCTGATTTATCAATCTCGCACCCCGCACTCAAAGCCCAAGGAACCTTATAGCCCTCTCCCTACAAGTCCCAGGAAGGAGCTGAGTGTCCACTGTTCCTCCCTGGCTGTGGAGGATGGGTCCAGCCGGGCACCAGCTTCCAATCCTGGCTGGCAGCTGCTTTTCCACTAAGTTGGTTCCGATGCCAACTTCCTCCCTTCTTGGTGGCAACTGTCCATCTTTATGTCAAAGAAATAAATAAATCCAATAAACAAACAAAGAAGAAGGAAACATCAAATGGACAACAGAGCCCCGGGAAGTCCATGGGAAGAACGCCAACGGGCACGAGAAGATGGCAAAGGAAAGAAAGACCCACCCCAAAGGAAGCCCACCTCACGTAGGAGGACTGAGCCAACCTTGGCAGTTTTTTGAGACGGGTGGAAAAAAAAGAGAGGGAGGCAGGGCTGTAGACTAAACAGGAAGTTAAAACAGCCTCCGGAATGAAAGGACTATTTCATGGGCACATCCGTGTACCGAGCAGGATTTGAGCCAACTCACCTTTTTACACAAAGCAAATATTGAACAGCACCTTCCCACTCCTTGCTGGAATGCAGTTATGGGGCAGGAAGGAGCCCCTGCATTCACTGCCCCCCCCCCCACAACCCCAGGAGCATTTATAAGGAAGGCTGGTCTAAAACAATGCATCCGTAAGGAACCGGAGTGAAAGAAAGGGGTATTTAATAAATAGGCTAAGAGATTTAAATGAAATACTAATAATATTTGTAGGGACAGCTATTAAGATAGGCAGGATGGATCATAGAGTCCTAGGGCTGGAAGGAACCTCAGAGGTCTTCTAGTCCAGGGGTCTCCAACCTTGGCAACTTTAAGACTTGTGGACTTCAACTCCCAGAATTCCTCAGCCAGCAAAGCTATTAGGATAGGCAGGATGGTCATAGAGTCCTAGGGCTGGAAGGAACCTCGGAGGTCTTTTAGTCCAGGGGTCTCCAACCTTGGCAACTTTAAGACTTGTGGACTTCAATTCCCAGAATTCCTCAGCCAGCTTTGCTGGCTGAGGAATTCTGGGAGTTGAAGTCCACAGGTCTTAAAGTTGCCAAGGTTGGAGACCCCTGTTTTAGTCCAACCCCCCCTGTCCAAGGCAGGAGACCTTATTCCATCCCAGACAAATGTCTACCCAATCTTTTCTTGAAGACCTCCAACTATTTATTTATTTATTTATTTATTTTTATTTATTTATTTATTTATTTATTTATTTATTTATTTATTTATTTATTTATTTATTTATTTGAATTTATATACCGCCCTTCTCCCGAAGGACTCAGGGTGGTGTACAGCCAGAATAAGAACAAATAGAAAAATTAATAACAATTTAAAATAAATATTAAAGAATATGGCCCATAACTAATTAAAAACCCAATGGAGCACCCACACCTCTGGATTGTGGTTTTTTTTAAAAAAAAAATAAAATAAATTGCTAATTGCCAAAGAGGAGTTAACCGTTCCTTTTTATTTTTTGCCAAGATGAAAAATCATTGCTCCTTTAGATCCGACCTCTTCCCTTAATCAATTAGCCATTGCAGGGCAGAATTTCTCCCAAATTCTGCCCTCTCTTACTTCACCCCGATGAGTGTTGAATAACCACCAAAAAAAACCCCATCCCACCTTTAATATCCTAAGAAAAAAACAGCGACGTCGCTTTGACTAGCAACATGAAGCGACCTTGTCAGATTTATTCCCCCTTCCCGATAATTTAAACCAGCTAAGACAATAATCTCATAAAGTGACTGTCAGCATTAGAAAATGCTATCTGGGGCATATTCAGTGACAATATCATTATTAGAAGTCGTAATGCAGCACTCAGCTGGACTTCCTGCTCAGAGGAGATAAAGCCCACAACTCAGCTCTATTTTATTTATTTATTATTTATTTATTCGTTCAATTTATATGCTGCCCTTCTCCGGAGACTCAGGGCGGCTTACAATGCGTTGAGCAATAGCTTTCATACTTTTGTATATACCTGCTTAGTAGGGCTTTCGGCCCCTCCTAAGCGGTGTTCTTTTTTATACAAAGTCATCTTATTGCCCCCACAAACCGGGTCCTCATTTTACCTACCTCGAAAGGATGGAAGGCTGAGCCCACCTTGAGCCTGGTGAGATTCGAACTTGCAGTAATTGCAGGCAGCTGGTGCTACTTAACAGCACTTTAGTCTGCTGCGCCACCAAGGCCCTTGACAGTAGCACAGGCCTTAAAAATGTATTTATTTATCTTTATCTTTATTTATTTTAGTTTGAATGTTTTAAATTTTGGGCCAAAGTCATATAATTCTTTTAAAAATTTTAAATTTTGTATTGGTATGTGTTTTAGTTCTGGCTGTGCTGAGTCCACTAGGAGAAGGGCGGGATACAAATTGAATAAAATAAATAAATAAATAAAACATTTATTCAGCCGCCCATCTTATATTGACCGTTTTCACCGAACTCGGCATAACACATCATGCTGTCCCAGGAGAAGCAAAATAATAAATCCACATGTTTTTTTTTGGTTTTTTTTTGATACCTCCCCACCGTTCTATTTTCGGTCTAGCCC